AAGAAATTGATTGGGATTTCTCTTGGCCCAAACCAAGGCCCAATTTCAAGACTATATGCTCAATTCTCCTCTCTATTTTGAGAACACACAGATCATTTGCTAAATTTCACTCTCAAAAGCATAACAAACTCGACTCTCTCCACTCTCATCAAGAACAAAGAGAAGAAAAATTCAACTCCATCTTCCCTCCAAGGAGCTCACCACTGCACCACCACCTCCGGCAGCCAACAACTTCCGCTGCCACCTCCTGCTCCTTCGGTGAACCTCCAATCTCCCTCCTTCAAGTCATCACACAATGTAACTCCTCCCTTCGGCACCACGTGATCACCACCGCACTACACTCTCTTCTGTCGCTCATTTTTAGGCCGCTCTCCTCCTCTTCCTGTCACACCTCTGATTGCATCTCCTCCTTCAGTTTCTTCTGATTATGGTAATTCTCCAATTCCTCTTTGTGCTTAATTAATTTTGGGGATTAAATGCATAATTGATTTTGTGAACAATTGCATACTTGATTTTTATGAGTTGAATAAATTGGAGAATTCATGAGTTGATTAAATTGAATCTTGAATTGATGAATTCTTGGATTGTTGAGGATGAACGAATGTGGAGTAGGATAGAAATCCTAGGAATTAATGTTGATTATGTGATTTTACCAAATTTTGCGCGTTGAATTGCACTTTGTTCAAGAATCTTTATTTTGGCGTGTCGAATTTTGGTTATGAACAAGTTTTGTTTAGGAATAATGTTGAATTCATGAGTTGAAATAATTCTTGAATTGAATTAATTGGTAATTCAATTTTTTGATGTTAAATTTTCGATTCAAGTAATTATGTCAACACTTGACTTACATCGTTTGTGATCAGAAAAACATGGCATCAATACAGATTTATTTCATTACAATTGTTTGAGAATTTTAGGCTACAATTAGTGAGTCGATACTCATTTTATAAACCACTTTTTGGATGTTCACCGACTCATGAATAGTGTTGTCTGTGAAATCTTTTCTCATTCTACAAATTGATTTTGTTTTCATTTGATGATTACTTATATATAATTGATCATTTAATGAGCATCGATGATGCGTTTTGGTGGTTCTGACGCCATTTTACAGTTTATTTTATGTTGTTATATAGTGTTGTCTGGTTCATGAAAACACACTTGGTTTGAGTTTTAACTTGCGCGTAAGGCATACTTGGCTTAAGTTTGATAATTGAGGAGAATTGGTATTGATTCCGGTTAATTTTAAAATGACTTTTGGTATACTTTGTGGATTATAACAAGGTTGTCCGGAAGGGGTAAGTTGGTGCAAATGCACGGTTTAATTGTGGTTTAATGTTTAGGTAAGTTTACCTTGTTGATTGATAAGCATTGGTGCCACTTTGGTTGATTTCGGAACCGACTTTTTGTGCATTCTTTGTAGTGGAACAATGTTGTCCGAATACTATTGTTGCATGTTTATTATGATACAATTCTCATCTCGTGATTGCTTATGCTTAATTTTTTGATTGTTAACAATTGCATTTAGATTTTCCTGGTTTTGATGTGTTAAATTGAGCGATTCCATGAAACAATATGTTGCTGCCCGATTTTTCTAAGTTGCACTTGAGATGCATTTAATTTTTGGTTCATGCATTATTGCACTTGTATTAGTATATATTGGTCATATTCATTGAGTTTTGATGTTTTTAAACTGACATTTTGCATGATTCATGAGATGATATACATGCTGCCCGGTTTTTGATGTTAAGGTTCTAATGCATGTTTGAATTCCATTTCTTCACAATTCATCCTTAATTTGTGTTGTGATATATGTTTCCTTGTTATATCTAATGTGTTTTTTGACTTGTGTAAGGTACTTTGAGATGGCTTTCAATCGTTTAATTATTGCATGATTATTCAATTGAAAAGCAATTTATTCCACTTTTGATGTGCTTTGAGCTTGTGTCTAATACGTTTGGCTATTGCTCTCATTCCATGAGATTATATATTCTATAGTATTTTTGCCATTGCTTGTCTTGACCGATATCTTGTGCAGGTGTACTTGTTGCACCCCAAAATTTGCCCTCCTAATTGCACTTCTATTCTGGCTTAGACTTTGCATTCATCTGCATCATTCCAATAGGTCATGTTCAGTTTGGATTTCTTCTCCATCAAGCAACAAGGCTAGTCTCTTCGTCTGAATATCAAGATGAAAGGTGTTTCTTGTCAAGAACTCAAGGGCGTGACCTAGCATACGTGGGCTTTGAATCACGGCGTCTCTTCATATAAGTGTGATAATCATTTGGTCGGGCTTAAGGACTATGACATGGCATTCATCCACTCTTCAATTAACCAATTCGGGTTTTGATGAATCATGGTTCAAAGGATTATTGGATTGTGAATTTAGGGTTTTGGTTGATGTTCATTGTGGATCTCTCCCTTATCAAGCTACAAGGATATCTTCCTCAAGGTAAGAGACAGAGTCATTTTCATTACAGCGCATCTCAAGAAGATTGTAATTCTCATGCATGGCAATTAAGCGTGTCAATTCATCAACTGGGGTTCATGTGGTTTACATGTTAAAGCTGTCTTGATGGTTATTCTTCCTATGTCTCAAGATCCATATTCATCTTCAAAGGATTACTCAAGGGGTTATTGTTCTCTCGAGTTGTTATTACTTGTAATGCAAGTTAAAGTTTCATGGGGAATTGAGGATTTGATTAGGGAAGTATCCATTCAAGTTGCTCAAGGTGCAAGTATCATAAGTATTTCTTGTAATGCAAGGTATAAGTAAATGCAAAGGTTATAAGGCATGGTCTCAAGATTAGTTAAGGTTCTCAAGCGCATGTTTGTCAAGAGTTGATTCATGCTAGTATTGGAAGGAAGTTCATGTGGATTTCTTCACAAGTTAACTTGGACTTATGGTTTCAATTGAGTTTAAACTGCATTAATTGAGCACATAAATGGGAAAATCCATCCATGGTTGATTTCTTGAAATTCAAGCTACCAAGGCGAAATAATACAACATTTCAAACATTATTCAAAGTATGAGATCATTTTCGATTTCAAGTGGAAAATTCAAGTTCCAATTGATTCTATTCAAAATTTCCAGAAAATTTTTTCATCCAATTTCGATTCAAAGTTCCATTAACCATTTCAAAACCTCTTCATTCCATGTTCAACAAAAATTCCAACAAGTTCGTTCATTTACAAATTTATCGAGTCTTTTTAATTTCAAATATCATACACCATTTTTGTTCAAATTACATTCAAAACATGTACAAATTCCATACGTGTCCATTGCATAGTTCAATTACAAGATATATTCAAATTCATTCAAAGCTACAAGAAAACTTAAACCTAACAAAGACTATCCTAATTTCAATCATTCTTCATGTTCCAACGTTTGACTAAGCTTCATGCTGAATGTCTTGCAATCTTCCCTTTCAGCCATGCCTTGCTAGTGGGCTTCAAGTTCACATTTCTTTTAAGAACCAATCTGCTACATTCTTCAAACTACCCTGCTGCCCTGTTTTAGACTCAACCAAACCTGCATACAATTACTAAAGTCGTGCCAAAACAGTTCAGCCATGCACATAAACATATTGCAGCATGCTAACAAAACCACCTTGCGCTTACTACTAACAGAGCTAAGAGTAGCATTCTCCTAAAAAGTAATACTATCACTTTGTATTAACAATTTTACCACCTATCCAAGTTACTAGCAGTTTTAAAACTAACAGGTTCTACTTCCAACCCTAACTAACTTTTCCAGCTAACATTTCACTAACTAATTTTCCAATTTTTTACTAACATATCTCATTTCTTTTTTTTACTGCAACTAACATTTTTATCAAAGCCAACTGATTAACCGAGTTTTCTAATAGAAAATATCATAATATTCCAACTCTCTAAAAGAATTTAACAAATTTAAACTTTCCTAAATGTCAGCTCTAACTAATTTCTAACCTACTAACTGCAACCAAACAAAAAAGGCAGAAAACAGAATGGGGAGAAACAGGTTCAGAGATTGCAATCCATAACTAATTACTAACAGTCTAAACACTCCTAACTGATTTAATAACAAACTCTAACTAAATCCTAACTAACTTCTAACTACTTCTTAACAGAAAAAGAGGAGTATAACAAGCTGGAACAAAAGGGAAAAAGGGTTCACGAGGGATTCATGGAGGAAAGGAATAACAAAAAAAGAGAAAAACTGACCATAAGATCTCAATTTTCTCTCTCTGCCTCATCACTTCGTCTTCTTCAATCTCTCTCGGCTCCTCTCTGCTGGATCTTCACCTTCACCCATCAGAAAATCAAGAAATCCTCTTTTCTCTGCTCTCTCTCCATAACCGCATCACTGCACTTCCATCTTCATCACTCTTCATCAGCTACTATGCTTCTCTCCGCACACTCTTCTTCACCTTCAATCTGCAACAAAATGCAACACATCAATATCGTTGCAACCACATCATACAGAAAAACGAAAAATGCAACACACGCTTTAGCACCAACACAAAGTGCAAGAGCAGTGACTCCAAAACACAAACACTGAGAAACAGAATTGTTAACAAAGTGAGAAGGGGAAAAATAGAGATCAACACGCATACCTGAATTGGTTAATCCGGAATTCTCATTGTTATTGGCATCGAAGATATACCGGACTGTCTCTGGAAGGAAATATTCTTCGACCTCTTCCTTTAGTATAGATTATGTGTTGTTGTTCGTTTGGTATGTTTGAATCGATAATAAAGAAGACATCGTGTTGAGCGCCTCCATGAACTTGAAGAAGAAGACGCAATTGAGAAGATAAAAGCGGTGGACGAACCCGATTCGAAATCGCAAATGGATGCGGGGTTATCAGTTTCTTTGGAATCGATTGTGTGCCAGTGTATCAATGGGTTGGAGGGGATCGAAGTTTAGACGTTTGATTCTGTCACGGAGAGGAAGGAGGCGCTTCGCTGGAGAACGGAATCAGAAGAAGACGAAAGGAAATTAGACAGAGACGACGATCGATGTGGGTTCAGAACGGCATAACGAGGCAAGGTATTTGGGTTTCGGACGTCTGTAATCGCCGACTGCCCTTGGCGCGGCGGCGGCTAGGTTTTGGAATTGGGAGCTTGCGAGTGAACTTGATAGAAAAGGTAAAGAAGGCAGGTTTAAAGGGATGTCAAGAATCACAATGCCAGTACGACGTCGTTCTACCTTTTCTTCAGTTTTTTTATTTCATTTTTATATCAGTTTCACTGATTTATGAATTTTGGTACGTTGGGCCCTCCCATGGTACTTTGACCCAATGATTCTGATGATGCACCTCTCTTAGGCCCACTGTTTTGTTTTTTTGGAGATAGTGTTGCAAACAAATAATTGTTTCATTGGCCGGGCTTAGAATCAGAATCTGAATTTCTACTGCACCTGCTGATTATTGGCTTGCACCCCCTGGATTTATTCTTTTAGTATTCTCTTTTAACTAATTTTGTTAATTGTCTAGACTTGTTTGGATTTTCTTTACATGATAAAAATGGTAAATTCAAATATAAAAAAAAAAACTGTTAGTTTTTATTTGGGATTTTAGGAATTTAACCCCGATTGTCCGATGACATTTGAGATTGGTAATTCACTTTTTCTTGTTGAGATTTGAGTCTTGTGCAGGTTTATTGTGCAATATGCGAATGCGCTTGAGATTTCGATTGCGATTTATTTTCACATCGATGATGCATCGACATTTATTCCGAGCATTTGATTTCTGATCCTTTTCTTTGATTGGTGAAGCTTTTTGCGAAGATCGTCGAGTTTCTTTGTTTTGATACGACTTTGCTACGGATTGATATCAGTTTGGTATTTTCCCTTGTTTATCTCATTTCAGTACTTTACTGTTTTTTAGATATCATGAGAAGTAGGAAATAAAGAGCGTGCGCTCAAAGTCGCTGTTTAAAGACCTGTAGCAGGCATTCCACACTTCATTTTCTATATGTGTTGTGCTTGTGATTGTTCACTTTCTTGTTGATCGATGAGTCACTCAATTTAGAAATTGAGATCATGACTTCGCTCTCAGTGCATGCTCCCTATAGGATTTCATTGCTTTCCTTTATTTCTTGTTGATCGACGAGTCATTCAATTTAGAAATTGAGATCACGACTTCGCTCTCATTGCATTTTCCCTATAGGATAGTTTTGTTAGACTTTCTTTGGCATGCTAACCTAGATAGGATCTCTCTAGGTGTGCTCTCTTGAGCTTATTGGCTTGTTTGTTTAATTTCATCTTTCTATGGATGTTTTGAGATGACATACCCTCGGCATGCTCCCTTAGGAGCTCTCGATTCAACTATAGATGATGATTCGAGATAAACATAGTTTTAGGTGATAGACCCTTGCTATGCTCCTTTAGGACTTCTTGATTCATCTATAGATGATGATTTGAGATAGACATTAGGATTGTATCCAGGCATGTCAACATAGGGTAGAGATTTCCCTTCAAAACTCAACCATAGGACCATCATTGTATGATAACATTAGGGATAGATCTAGGTTAGTCTCCCTTAGATGTTTTCTTTTTCTTTTTGCATACATGCATTAAAACAAAAACTTTCTCTTTCTCTGAAAAATATTAAAACATCTAACAAATTCCAAATCCTTCTTCAAGGTAAAAAATATCAACCAATGAAAACTCTTTCTGCGCCTACGGGCTTTTCTTTCAAACTTTTCAAAAGAACATGTTAATTTAATTTTATGCCAATGCATAAGTATCCAAAGGTCGAGCTGCGGCAGAAGGCAGAATTAACATTGTCCATAAAAAACACAAAACAAACAAAAACATGTGAGCCAAACTACGATAGCTCTGATTCCTCAAAAAGGATACGTAGGCATTAGGGTAGGGCCCAAGCGAGTATAATTTTATTTTTCCTACATTCTTTTCTCTTTTCTTTTGCATGCATTCTCCCTTCAGTAGTGTGATCGGTGGATCTGGAACTGACTGTTTAACGCTGGTTCGCGAAATGTCGCAGAAGCAAGAGTTGTCACCGTCTTTTATTTTCTCCAAATGGAAAGGACAAAAGCACAGAAAAATTCCTTATAGAGATTGCTCTCGGTTCGGGAGGTAGATTTATAGAAAGGGAAGGTGTTAGCACCCTTTCTATCCATGGTTATCCATGGGCTCTTAGATACTTGCTCATTTTTGTTTTCAAAATTGTTTGTTTGCTTTTCAACTGTGGGTTTAAAAAGTTTCTTTAAAAATTTCAGTTCGACTCTTGTATCAGTCCTCAAGAGTGTTTGAAAAATTGCTTTTGAAAGGTGTCGGTGTGAAAAGAAGTTTTTGATTTGTTTTGAAATTAGAGCAAGTATCTACGAGTTCTCTACCTACCCTAAGGAATTCGTCTGTGTAAATGTCCTTAAAGTAGTGCCATCCCACCATTGAGAGGTAGGTAGCACCACCGTTGGAGGTGTTCGGGTCAATTCGAGGGTTCGGGACAATGTGGTCACCAGAGCAATAGGAAGACACCTTAGAAGCTACCCTCATGCCATGTTCATGGACATGAGGACTTAATAAAACGTCCTCTACTCGACGACCACCTTTCGAGAGGCAAGGCAACAGTGAGGCGTACCCTAGGGGTGGTGTGTGATTTGTGTGTCGTTTTTCAATTATGTTTATCTTGTTCATGCATTGGTGATCTACGCTTTTGTTTTTATTTTTGGCATTCATTCTTTCATGCAAATTATTAGCAGTTAAAAGGTGCGAAATTAAAAGTCCTACGCTATTACAAAGGCGCGGGACTACATCGCCAAATTAGTCCAAGACCCGATTTGAATAAAATAAAAATGCGGAAAAATAAATATCTTAATTAATCTATTACAAGGTTTTGGGATAAATACATTATATTCACAAAAAGAAATAAAAGTAAAATGCGAGAAGAAGTAAAGTCGGGAATGCGAGGGCGTTGGACCCTTTTAAGGAAATTAAATTGGAATTAATGAAATTAATTAAGTTAAATAAAAGAAAGAATTTTTTTTTGGAGTTTTTTATATTTATGGAGTTTAATGAGAAAATTAAATTGGAATTAAAAAAGTTAATTAACCCTAATTCTAAATTGTTTTTATTTATTAAAAAAATATTTTTAGTTTGACCTAATTTACATTAATTATTTACATGGCAATTTATTTACAAAAACAAAACAATTAATTATTAATAATAATAATAAGAAGAAATTTTAATTATTAAAAAAAAATAAAAAAAGCTAGAAACCCTAATTTTTATGTTTTTTAATTTATTAAGAAAACATTAAAATTAAACCTAATATTAAAACTAAATTAGTTAACAAAATTTATTTACAAAATTAAATAAAATATATTTTTATTTTTTGTCTTTCTGATTTTTTTGTTATTTTTATGTTATGAAAAATTAATTTTGATGATTTAACTAAAATAAATAAAACAAATAATAGAAAAAGAAATAAAAAGAATGAAAATAGAATGCAAACTAATGGGGGTGTTGACCCCAATTTTGGAGGTAAGTTGCCAGCAATTTGGCCCATTTATTGGAGGCCTGGTTGACTTTTCTAGGATGCGTGTGGCTCCATTGACCAATGCGTATGGTATTCTTCAGATCAAGGCCATTGGATTGATCTCAGTGGCCATGTGGCAAGCTTTGATAGTGGATGCATGGTGAACCCCTGGAAGGCACGCTGCGTAGGAACCTGGAAAACAAAATAATATTGAGAAGGGAGGGGACCTGGGAATCGAACCCAGGTCCCAATGCTTACCAAGCCATATGCCTACCAACTGAGCTGCTTAGCATGTTTGTCATTATAGTGGAAAAGAAATAATATATAAAACAATAATGTCCACTATGCTGGAATACTAAAAAACGCGCCAACGTTTAAATGGACCACTCAGGTAAAGCCACGTCCATCTTCTTCCTTGCTTCCTTGCTTTTTGCCTGAAAAAATATATCAAATAGCGGGGGTTTTGAACCCCCACTAACTAAAGTACAAGAAAATAGCGATTAGGCCACCGTTGCTCATAAATTGAGCGCGACATGTGTACTGAATTCGTGTGAAGCTTCTGATTCTAATGGCATAAGTCTTGTTGGCCAATTTTTCCCCATAAAAGAAGCCCTAATTTTTTACCTCTGAAAACCTAGAAGGCGTTAATGGCAGATTCTCGTACAGGGCATAAAAATTCAATTAAATGATGCCAAAAGTTTTAGAATGTTTATGTTAGTGCAAAACAACAAGAAAAAGGCATGAATGATGCGTATAATTCAAAACACGAATATGAGAAAAATTAAGAACAGGACAGTTTCGTTCTACCGTTTCTTGAGGTTAAAAGCTGTGGTTTTGATCCAGAAAGTTTCCTTGATGCCTTGGCAAGCGATTGGAATAGTTATCTCGCTTTGAAACGACCTCTAACTGTGTTTTCAGTTTTGAATATTTGGACAAAAAATGCAAAGTTGGTATTTGATATGAGGCGCAGCTTTCAGCTCCTTTTCATTAGGTTTAGCATTCTGTATATGTATGGGACGAATTAGGGTAAGAATTTGAGTCAAAAAGCATTTGCATTGATGAACCAAATATTTGATTTCCATGGAATCTTTTCAAATCTTTTTCATGTGCTTTTGATACCAATCATGGCCAAATCTTTCCAAATTGAGTGTGCACGAAATCTTGAGGTTTTATGGAGAGAATATGCTGCAAAAAGGGATTAAAAAACATGGTTTTCTATTTTTGTCATATTTTATTTCATTAAATGAATTAATAGTGATAAAAATTCAAATAAATAATAAAAAATGATGAAATAAATCCCCTTTGGGTCAAATGGTCGTGCATAGCCTTTGGATAATGATTCTTGGAAGAAAATGTGGCCCATTAGCAATTTTGAGGCATTTGAAGCAAAGTTGACTTTTCAAAATTCCCAAATATTTCCCAACTTCCACAAGGCATATCTTGCTCAATTTTCAAGATTTGATCATGTTCTTGGACATTTTGGAAAGGTATTGAAGTCCTCTAACCAATTCCTTTGGTCCCATGTCATTTTGACTTATAAATATCAAGTTATGGTCTTTGACTTAAAGTCCCTTTTTGTTGACTTTTGAAAATGACCTATAATGTTGAAATTGATAACTTTTTGTGAGAGAATTTCTTGGACTTGAAGTGTGAAGAAGAGTTGTAGGAAATGTCTTTCTCTTCAAAATGAGATTTGGATGGAATTTTTCTGATGAACCATGTGGAAGTTATGCCTTGGTCAAATTACAGTTGACTTTTTCAACTGTCCAAATATGGAAACTTTTGCATCTTGAGACTTTTTGA